GCGGCGTGGTCCGACGAAAATTTGAAAGCAGCCAGTGAGCGACTGTCTTCTGAAACCAGACTTGGGGTGTACGCTGGTCTCGGTGTAAGTCAAGGTAATTGCCAGTGCGTGATTGGACAGCGTTTCTAATACCTCATTAATTAGGTCTGTTTGTGATGATCGGTACAATAATTATCTCAATCGCTATGGTATCTGCGAGTAAAGCGCTTCACCGGAATTTGGTATTCAACCTCATGCGTAGTCCTGTTAGCTTCTTCGACGTAACGCCTCTGGGAAGAATCCTGAACCGTTGCGGCAAGGCAGGAAACCTTTCTTTTAAATTAAATACAGATAAAGACAAAACTTTGACAGAGTGCAGTGCACTGCATGACGCGAAGCTGCTTTATCGAAATTAAATATAAAAACTAATCCGCAGCATGCTTTCAGATTGACTCACTCTAAAAGTGCTTTTGTTGTCAATGACTATTTATAAGTAATAAGTGTTCCCAAAAATAACTTCTTTTCAGGTCATAAAAACAGCAGTAGAGCACGGAATGAGTGCCGAGAAAAGGTAGGGATAAGCGTGTAGACAGTTAGTGAGGAGAGAGATGCAAAAGTACCCATACCCTATCTCGGGTACCCTTTTAATTTTTTGTTGGCAGACCATCTGAAAATTGAGTAATTTGTTTGTTTGTTACTGTTCATGCAGAAAACTGTAAGATGTATTTACGTAAAAGCAAACAAATAAGGTGGTCAGTGGTGTGACTGACTAGTACCGACGCATCGGCTCGACTCTCACAAGCCTTCTTCAAGGTGGTCTTGGTTGACTTCCACAGTAAGTTGCGTGATCCGGATCTGCGTCAGGAGCCAAAGATCATATGTCGCCAGAGGTCATGTGGTCGATGAAGTTTTGATGCCGAAATACCGTTCAAACATGAGAAACAGTAATAGGGCCAACACGACTATCAGCTAATAGCTTGTAAACAACCTATGTTCAATGTCTTACAAGGTGTCAGAGGCAATGGAGTGTCACGGTGATTTAGCAGCAGTTTTTATTTCCTCTCCAAGTCCAAATATGTTCTTCACTGGTTCAAAATATGCTTCTCAGTTTCTCAGTCTGTCTCGCATACTCTTTTTCTCTGCTATAGATTTTTTCCTCAATTATGAATGTATATGCGCTCAGGTAAAATAATATGCATATAACTCGACCAAAGAAACATTAGGCGAGTTATTACACTCCTCGGATTTTGTTCTTGATGCATAGCATCACGCTTGAACCAACTATGCTTCATCCCATCGATGTGCCTTGTATTATAGTTTTGAAAAGTGAATTACTCCAGTAATCTCTAAGTCTCTATCTATACCGTCCAGTGGATCACAGAAAGACGCAAGTGTTTCCTTGCCGATTCAGAAGACTCATTAGCTTCAACTCTAATATTCAGTAAAGCGGTTTCAGAAATCGGTGTTTCTTACACGTTCTTTGCATAACTCCGTAAATTTGTGCTCACGCCGAGTCGTATGCTAATAATGGCATAACTCCTAGCACGCGAGACGGATTTGGCACTGCAGGTGCTCAAATGCGAAGGATTTCAGTCGATGGTTGTGGCATGTATCAAATAGCTGATGAGTGCCTGCGTATGGCGTTAAATCTGATTTGTCAAGAGTAATATGTGTACTTTTTTTCTATTGTTCACACGTGAAGGCTACGTTTTCCATGAAATGTATATATCGTTTCACTTTATCTTTTAATCCTTTATAATTTTAGCTTTTTATTCACTCCTTCGTTTTTTGCACACTTA